ACAGTATGTACTTACCAGTTCAACTTCTAGCAGTTTTTAAAAGCTAAAAAAAAATCCTGCCCAGGTGCTCTCTGTCCCTTTTCCCTTAGGGAAGCAGGGAATGAACTCAGCTGAAAGATAATGCTCGATTGTCTAGCTGGGTAGAGCTGGTGGGGGCTCACAGCTGACATGGCAGGTCCCCTCCAGGCTTGTGCCCCAGCTGCCTTCCTCCCCTAGGTTTGAAAACCTCCAGCAGGAACTGGAGCAGACCACAGCCCAGGAAGAGAACCTCATGCAGAAGGAGCTGCTGGTGAAGAAACACTATGTTCCAGGCAAGTAAGCCACCATTGAGCCCCATCCCCAGCAGCCAGGGTATTCATGTGGTATGTTTTCTTCCTTAACTTTTGTTTACTAGGGATGAATAGGCCCTGATTTTTCTTGACAGTGTCACAGCAAAACTGATTCTGAATATTTTCTTTACCGATTTTCCATGACAGCACCTCTCCAGAAAACTGAGAAGGCTGGAAGAAGCCAGAGACACCTTGAAGGCATGATATTCTACACTCCAGGTTCACGGCCTCCTCAGAAAATGCCACCTCTTCAGCTGTGAACTCACTAGTGAGGCAAATATCAACCTATCATCAGTCAATCCAGTCACAATCTGATCCACATCTGTGGCTCACTATTCCCAGAGAAAAGATTGTATCACAAATAGTCTGAGATTCAGAGAACACAACACAAATTACTAAGAACCCTGACATCCATCAGCACGTGGTCCCAGTGAGGGGCAAAACAAAATGAAGAGGACATGTGGGTGAGCAAGAGTTCTTCTGTCAGCTTCCTATCAAGGGCTTTGACAAGCTGACTCCATATGTGATGGGCAATCTGACAAGGAAGACTGTGTTAACATCACTTTGTCGTCCAGACAGACCACAACCAAAAGCATAAGATTCTCTCCAGTACAGTGCTAAAGCTGACTTGTGCAAGCTGACTTGAAGCCATGTCATGTGCAAGTTTTGCTGAAGATAATTCACTGCAGAGAATAAGCTAGTTCCTCACCTCATTTGCTCTCCCCTAATGAAATACCAAGTGATCCTGAAATTTGCTTAATGTTTTTGTTTATATGTTGGGATATTTATGCTTTGGATTTTGGTTTTCTTCATTTTGGTTTAAGGTTTTGTTAATTTTTGTCATTTCTTATATTCTTGTCATTGTTTTAATAGTTTGCTAAGGCGTTACTTTATATATAAGGACTGCTGTTTTGAAAGCCCCCATTGAGTAAAATGAATGTATTTTTATGAGTAAAATGCAATTTCAAACTTCACTCTGAGACTCTTCTTTAGGCAGGTGAGGTTTCACACTCCTATAAAACCTTAACTCACATGCTTTGATGTATCTCAGTAAGTTCCAGGAATCTTGAGCTGCACAAGGATTTCCCAGCCATGGATCTCAGAGCTATTGTCAGGCCCAAACTACTCTAAAAATTCTATACCTGTCTGGTGCATTGTTCAGGGTTTTATGGGATAAGAGAATGAATTTCTATATACACAAAAGGCTATGTTTTAGAATGACTTAGAGGCTGTGGTCCAGCTAATGGAACATTTGCTGGCTATAATGGCAAAATCCTCGAATCCAGCAGTTGCTCAGTCCACTATGCTTGATGTCTCAGCCCATCAGCAGTATAGTCTGGAATCCCAAAGCAGTTGGCTCCAATGCCAGTGAAGGAATGGACTTGCTAGCAAGGTGAGAGCAAGCAGCTAAAGAGCAAAAGCTCCCTTCTTCCATTTCTTTATATGGGCTTCCAGCACAAGGCCTGGCTGAGATTACAAGTGGGGTTTGGGGGCTGAAAACATCTGAGTTATAGGTGTTTCTTTTCTCATCAATATCCAGATTAACAGAATGTCTCCCTAATGCAAAGATCAGGACTACATGTGGATCTTGTCTCTTCAAATTAAGCAAAAGTACCTTACAGGCGTACCCCTCCATTTGGGGGTTTTAATGAATTTCAGATGTAATAAATTTGACAAACAAAAATATCTCTCACAACTGCACCCTTTTCAACTTGACACACAATTATATCTTTTTATGTCATGTTTAATTTCCAAATATAAAACAATAACCAGGTCTTAATATTGCCTAAACAAGATATAATTACTCCAAGTACAACATGAACACATTATGTATTAAACCAGCTTAAAATTGTGCCTAACATGATTTAATTATCCCTTGTAGTTGTAGTTTTCCTGTGTCCACCCAGCTTCTTCAGCAGCTCAGACCCAAGTAAACACACAGAGACTTATATTACTTATAAACTGTATTGCCGCCGGCAGGCTTCTTGCTGTCTAGTTCTTATATCTTAAATTAACCAATTTCTATTAATCTGTAAGTTGCCATGTGGCTTGTGGCTTACCGGTACTTTACATCTTACTTCTCATGATGCCGGTGGCTTCTCCTGATGCAGCCTTCCACTTCCAGCATTCTCCTCTCTGCTTATCCTGCCTATACTATACTTCCTGTCTGGCTACTGTCCAATCAGTGTTTTATTTATCAATTACTCAGAGCAACACATTCACAGCATACAGAAAGACATCCCCAGCAATCCCCGTACAACTGCAAACACATTATAAAGTTAGAATACGTGGCAATGTCCCTGGAGGGACATTCTTTTAGTATCTCAAATTTAAATAAGATAACCATCAATATTCTCCCTCTTTTGGAATAAATTTGCTTTTATTTATTTGTTTATTTTTGTTTTTACATCCTAACCAAAATTTCCCTTCCATTCCTCTCCTCTCAGTCCTTCCCCCAACCTCTACTCTTCCTGCTCCCCATCCATTCCTCCTTCTCTTTTTTCTCTTCAGAAATAGGCAGACCTCCTGTGCAAATCTGCCTGCCATGTTATATCAAGTTGTGGTGAGACTAGGCATGACTTCTTACATTAAGGCTGGACACAGCAATTCAGTAGGAGGATTGGGTCCCAAAAGTAGGCATTAGAGACAAGCCCTGCTGCCACTGTTAGGAGTCTCACAAGAAGACCAAGTTATACAACTGTAAAATATATGGAGAGGACATAGGTCAGTCCCATGCATGCTCCCTGGTTGGTGGTTCAGTCTGAGTCACTATGAGCCTAGCTTATTTAGTTCTGTGGGATGTTTGTGAAGCTACTGACCCCACTAGCTCCTACAAATATTTAATTGTTTACTCATTATATTATGTGCATTGGTGCTTTGCCTTCATGTATGCCTGTGTGAGGGTATCAAAACTTCTGGTCCTGGAGTTACAAACAGTTGTGAGCTGCATGAGATTTTTTTCATTATTTTAAAAATTAAGTATTTCATATGATGAGTGTATAGATATTTTCTGACTGGTATTTAAAATAATTACATCTATCTATTTACTTATTTAGAGATGAGGAAATAAATACATACATACAATAGAGAGAGAATGAACATACAATACATGCCATGCCATTTTGTCATTCTGTTCATATGGAGGTCAATGAACAAATTAGGAAGAGTAAGCATTTTCCGTCCACTAAATTAGCCATCTCATTGGCCCTTCCATGGTACTTTTCTTGATCAACCCGTGGCTTTCTGCCTTAGAGTGGTTTCTTGTGGTTCTGAAAGTTAGAGAATATTTTAATATTAAAGGGCATTGTGAAAAATGTGTGCAGAATTTTGTTTCAAATGAATGATACTGCTAATAAACATAACAGGCGCTCAGAGTTGATGGCAGGAAAGAGCAAACATATCAAGCTGGCCACTCGGAAAGTTCTGTTGCCTCCTTGGCTGGTGTCTGGAAGTTGGGTTTTCAGTTTATCTGTATATTTATATATGCATGTATATGCAGTTAGATATGGTTGTACATATTAGGTATATCATATAGATGCTTATAAAAATATGCACATATCTAAACTCATAGTTCTGCATACAACATGTATACCACACACATGCATACCAGTGCCACAAAGGTTATTTGTTTCTTTTTAATTTATGTTATGCCAATTTATTATATATCTAATTTAATTTCAAAGTATAATTCTGAGTGTGTGTGTGTGTGTGTGTGTGTGTGTGTGTGTGTGTGTGCATGCAAAGTTGTAGACATATACATGTTTTTAAATGTATGAATGTGGGCACACATTTGTGTGTGTTGTATGGAAACAAGCATGTGTGTATTGTAGCACAACATTGATGGTGCCCTCATCCTTTATGATGGCCTAGTGGCACTATTACAGTGGGTGGGGCATGCTTGAACATGCTTCACTCTGTGCATGGAAATTCCATGCTTCTAGAGCACTGATGTTGTCTAAGATGTTACTAACAATGTGTAGATGTTTCAGCGTCTTTCTTAGATGGAGATCTACAATCTATGTCACATGTTAAGTCCCTCAGATACCATTTGACACCAAGCACAGATAAGTTTTCAGTTTCTCTTTCCTCCTCCACTGCTCTTAAAGATTCCAGTAAATCACCCCCATCAAGTAAGTCTAACTATGCTTACTGGCTATCCAGAACTTGGTGAAGAGCAGGAAATTGTGGGTTCCCAGGTTCCAATGATGCTGACAGGAAGACTTCCAGGTGGGCTGTTCCTACTGCAACTGTCGCCACAGGCATCCAGGCTGAGACAGCAAAGGGGCATCCCTGCTGGGCAACTGTATAACTTCTCTTCTTCCAGATTCTGCTGCTGCAGACAGGAAAAGGATTTCAAGCTCTGTGATTAGATAGCTGGTTTAATTGAGGCCACCCTCCCTAAATCCTGTTAGGTTTTGAGGGTAGCACAATGCTTACACTTCATCTAGAAATCACAGGAAGAATTTCCCCACAGTTTCTCCTTATAACTGACATTTGATTGGTTGAGGATCAGTAGAAAAGATTTTAACTCAGTTTTATTTTCTGTCTTTTTGCATGCCACAATTCTTAACTGTAGTTTTCCATCTGCAATAAGATAGAGGAATGGAACACTGTGATACCTTGACTAACTCCTCAGAGAGCTAAGATGCCTCCTTCCCAATACCCTTCAAATGTCACATTAGGGCAAGAAAAAAGCATCCATGGTAAAGAAGTGTAGCGGGATCCTTTGCTGTTGTTCCCTTTGTGGAAGGGGCCAAGTAGGCACAGAGTCAAATCACACAGACTCAGGGAGAATGTCTAAACAACAAGCTCAGTTTATTCAGTTAGAGGCAAGCCTTATATACCATCCACCCCTCCATGGGGGCGGGGTCTGATGAATATGCATCAGCTGGTATGACATGGCTGTCTCTCATTGTTCCAGGTCATTTCTAGATCATGATTCAGCTGCTGTTGCTAAGACCATTAGGCAGACCCAGGCTGCCTCTCAGAAAGTATTTTTTTCACTTGTATGTGTCGGCTGTCCTTCAAGCCTGTTAGGGATGAGTCATCCCACAAAGAAGAATAAAAAGGAAACCCGATAATGAGGACCCTGAGTTAGAAGGATTGCTGGAAATCTGAGACCAGCCTTGAGGAATTAATTTGCAGGGAAGGACAGAGGCATGAAGGCAAAGGACAGTGGGAGATTGGGAAGGGGTATTCTCAGAGGGGGATATATCCACTGTTTTCTACTACTAATCTCCACTCGTGTTTGTTAGAAAACGTGACAACAGCTGAGACAGAGTCAGCACCTGTCCCAGGACTCCACTTTCCAAATGGGACAGGATGAACTGCTGTTACACTGCTATCCAGTGAGTGACAGCCTCAGAAGTCATCAACTACCATGATGAGAGGAGGTAGGGAAAGCCTCATGGCTTTCTGCTTTCTGGACAATCCCACTTCAAGGTGTGTTTAATGATAGTGAAGGGACAGGCTGGAGGGCAAAATCTCAAACAGCTCTGTTCCCCAAACCCAGCTACAGCAGATGTCACAATAAAAGCTTCATAATGAGAGACTCTTGATGATAAACTGAGTCTCAGAAATGATAGACCAGTATTTGAACCATATACATATGGAATGGGTCTGTTCCTTCCCCAATGACCTTCCTCTTCTCAGCAGTGAGCTTCTGTAGTAGGCCAGGACAATTGGGTGGGAAGTTGCCCCTGAGCAATGATGATAACTGTAGCCTTCAGGCACCTCCCCTAATTACCAGTCCAAAGACATCTGCATAGCTTCACCACCTTTGTGCTTCCCTGAGCAGAGTGTGGCCTGGCCTCTGTGACACTACACAAGGAATCATTGTCATGGTTACATGTGTGCCCTTGACAGGTTGGCAGCTCACTCTATAAAAGTGGGCTGTGATTCACAACAATAATAACATGCGCAGGAATAAATCTGGTAAGGCAGTGCAAACATTCTTTGTGGGAAGACATTATCTCACATCAGTGAGTGGACATGACAAGGAGCTTTCTTGAAAGGGATCACAAAGGAATGGTTCATTGTTCCAGGGGTTTTCAAGGTAGAAGACAAATGACATTTTGAGAAGTGTTTCCATAGCAAGGAACAGAGGAACACCCTCATAGTGCATGTCATGAATGACATACAGGAGAGTACACCATGCCCACACTGAATAAGAGGCCCCATGAAGATCTGCACAACCCTCATGTGCCTATCAAGGCAACCTCTAGATCAAAGGAGGACCAGCCTCTGCTGTTAAATTAACTGCCTGTGATATCCCTTCATGGGAGCAGACCACAGAAGGAAGGAAAGGCAGCAGATATTTTGTTGGGACACTATTTTGTTATCTTTACTGAGAAGCAACAATTTTGCACATGGTGGCCACAGTCACCAATGCAGCAGCAAGGACTCTCCCAAGCACCACTGTCTCCTCCCTACTTCACCTTTCTATTTGTGTAATATGTAGTTTATTTCATCTGGAGTCTGTGCTGTGTGTTGGTGTCTGTGCCCATTTCCCTTGAAAGAGCCAATGTTCTTCAGCATATACTTGAGATGTAAGAGAAGCACAATAAATAGTCTTCTATCAATATCCAGATGTTATTTTTATTCAGAATGGCTGAGCATAATCCAAAGCAGATTACAAATACAAAATAGCTTCAGTCAAACCTCTACTCAAAAGTATCCCCCGCTTCAACCCTAAAGAGAAACAGGTACCAACAGTCCCAGAATATTAATGGAACCAGGCTTAACTCTAACACAAAAGCTGAATGGATACAGACACACCTACCCCAGGCCAACATGGCCCCTGAAAAAACCCATGCTAAACACCTAAAGTGAAAGTAGACCAGGATTAAACATTAAACCATGATGTCAACACAGAAGTATTCCAAGGCCTAAGGATGAACCTGATAAAGACCAGGAATAACGCCTACATTAGCAATGGCTTCCCTCACCCAGAAAGGCCAGGGACCAACCCTAGGAATGAAAAGGCCAAACCATGACCTGAAAGAAGCCTTCTCCAAAACCTGAAGTTGAAAAAGCTCTGGCCCAGAGGAAAACAGAGGTATCCCTGGGCCAGTCCATTAAATGGAAGAGCCAGGGCCAAAGGAGAAAAAGGAAAAGTAACAAAATGAAAAGAAAAGAACACCCATGCCTAACCTTGACCATGAAGAAGGCTGGCCCCAACCAAGAGGGAGATGAGTTCTACCCTATCCCTCAGAAGAAAAAGACCTGGCTCAAAGAAAGAAAAGGAGAGTATCTATGGCCCAACTTTACCTGGATTGATGCCAGGGCCCTCACCAAGATGAGAATTTGGCCTCAGCACACCTCTGACCCTGAAGAAGATTAGGCCAACCTAAGACAGGACATGGGCCCAGACCAATCCCTCAAATGAAAGAGGCCAGGGGCAAAGCAGGAAAAGGAGAACACAGGAGCCTTACACTTCCTGACAAAAGCCTGAAACAAAACAGGGAGAGAAGAAGACCTGGGACACTCTCCAAATGAAGAAGGAAGTCTGGGGGGAATATTGACTGGGGAAGAATTTAGAGCTCATACAAAACTCAGAACAAACTAGGCAAAATCAAAATTGGAAATGTTACAGGCCAAACATAGACCTTGCTGAAGATAAACCATAAACTCTAAATCAAGGGAGCTCCTGCCAACCCAATGAGAGATACATGGTCAGACTTAATGTTGACCCTATGAAGTGCAGTGTGAAGAGACAATTTAAATGAATCCTGCTCCAACCACAATAAAGAACTCTTCCTAGGCCAAACCCTGATATCAAGTAGCCAAGGGCCAAGCCCTGTGTGAAAGAAGTCCAGGCAATCCAAGAGAAGAAACATCCTGACCATAAACTGCTATCAGTGGAGACTTGTGTACAGATATAAGTTGACATCCTGAGTAACTGTAGGGTCCTGGCCCCCCACTGTGAGTGGCTGCCACATTGCTTGCCAACCTTGATCAGATGTCCTCCCTATGCTGATTCCCTGCCAGTTTCCTTATTCCTGAATACTCACCAGAGGTTCTTTGTTTGTGTATCCTGCATTTGGTGTAAACAGCTTGGATGCAATTATGTACAACATGGGGTAGTGAACTTCTGCCCTCCGGAGATCCTCCATTGTGCTGTAAACCTGTATTTAAGGTTTCCTGCTTCCTTCAATAAATGGCATTCGGCATTCTGCTGGGACAAATGACCTGCTGTCTCTTGTCTCTATTTTTTGATCCACATCCCCTCACTTGGACATGGTGAATGGGTGGTGGTAGTGCAGGCACTACCACTACAAATGGAGGTTCCACCAAGATCCGAGAAAGAAGGGACATCACAGACGGACACCCAAAAGTGAGGCTGGCCAGCAATTTAAAGAAAAGAGAAGGTAAGGGTGATCTGAATTGAAATGAGTGCAGCTAGCTCACAGTCAGTTAATTGAACTGCTGAAGCAGGAGGGCACTGAAGTTAGGAAAGGGCAAGACAGCTAAAGATTTCATGAAAATAAAAAGAGGAAATCTTCCCAATAGAGAACAGGGAAGGGAAGGAAATTTCCCATTAGAAAAGGGAGAAAAATTTTAATCAAGAAAAAAGGATTTTCACGGTAAGGGGGGGGATTTGAAACTAGGCCCAAAAATTTTGGGTTCCTGTAGAGGAAGGATGAAGGAAAGAGAAAAGCCTTTTCCCAGTGATAATGGAGGAAGAAAAGGCTCTTTCCAATATAGAATTTGCAGGATAAGCTGAAACTCAGAGCTCTTTCTTCCTGCCAGTGCACATCTGCAGCATCTGAATTACAGAGTCAGCAGTTGGGCCTCAATGCTGCTGGCTGAACAAGAATGTGAGCCCAGGAGTTAGAAGTTTTGCTGTCTGTTTGCTTAATTTTGGTTTAAATGTTTTTTTTTCCCCTCATAGTAGGAATAATTCAATATTTAGGATCCCTTCATGGGAAATGTTTTTCTGTTTTTTCCCTTATGGTGGGAATAACTCATTATTAGGTAGTCCTTTCAAGGGAGTAAGAGGTAGTTTAAGTGGGCCTGCACAGTGGACAAAGGTGCATGTGGAGGCATGAGATAGCTCGGAACAGAGGGCGGGCAGGTACGCAAAGGCAGGAGGCAGAGCCACAAGGCTAAGGAGGGGAACAGACTCTCAGACTCTCAGGGAGGAGGTTCTGCTGATAAAATATATATGAGAGAAGAAGTGCTTTAGAGCCAATTCACTGGGCATGATGGAGCACTGGGCTGTGCATACAAAAGAAGTCAAACATAAAATGGTTGATTCATCACGGACTTGACGACTGGTGTTTGCCGTTAGTGCCTTTGCAGAGCTCCATGGAAGAATGTGAACTTGTAGAAAAAACTAACATTTTAAGGAAAAGGTGAAGTGTTGTGTAACAATTTTCCTTTTTATGACATGAAATACTTTTCTATTATTTTTGAGATTATAATTACATAACTTTCTCCTCTCTTTCATCCTTCAAACCCTCCCAATACTCTTCCTTGCTCCATTTCTAATTAATGACCTCTATATTCATTAATTGTTGCTACATGCTTATACATATATATGTGTGCATGAAGATATATATATATATATATAGATATATATATATATATATATATCCATATAGTTATATTTCCTAAATGTAAACCAATCATTCTGTATAGCTAGCATATATGTTTTCAGTAATGACCATTTGATATTGAGTATCCAACTGGTGTGTTCTTCCCTGGGCAGGACTATTCCCTTAAGTCTCAGAAAGTTCTATGAAAAAAGAGAAGAGGTTCATAATATCCAGCAATTAAACCATGGCTGGGAAAGCTGAAACTTACAGGATTAACTAGGCCCTTCCACTTCCAAGGTTAAATGGGTGATAACTAAGGAGAACTGAAGAAATGAGACCCTCTGTCCCATTCAGCTCCAAACAAGTCATGCAGACACATTCAGAGTTCTAGTACTCATGAGTCACCCATTCTAATGAGAGCCTTTGTGATGCCACACATTAGAGTTATTCATATTCCTATAAGTAATACCATACCTATACTCCTATATTAACCTCAATAAACTCATTCATTTGAGGGAATAGGAATCCGTCTTCCCTGGGAGGCAGACAGATAAAGAAAGGGGAACTGATAAGTAATACAAATGGCCAACTTCTAGCTTCCTTTTTATTTTCTGTACTGAGACAGAGGCTCAGTAGGCTTTGTCTTCCACCAGCAGGCTGCCTCTTCCAGCTGTCTGGTTCAAGACAGATAGGTGTGTTCACAGTCAGTCCTAAACAGGGTCACCTGAAGCTGTAGGTGATCACCGCTCTTGTGAGTGAGCAATGGTTATGTCATGTCCAAAGGACAGCATGTCACAGCAGTTCCCTCATGCTCAGTAAGGACATTCAGGACCCAATTCCAGGATGTGTCCTATCCTAGGGGAAGTGGTTGATCTACAGGTCGCATTTAGGAATGAGCATTCATGGTCATTTCAACATTTTGAAGTTATGAGGCTGTGCATTTGCTGCTGCATACCACAGAAAGAGAACCTCTGGCCAAGACTGAGAGCTGAAGAGATCTATGTGTAAAACAAAATATTTACAAAGCAGTTGCTATTACACTAAGTAACAATAGTAGCATCATCTAAAGGGCTATGACCTATCAAGCCAGTGTCTTTTGACCACGTACACAGTAGCAGGTACTAATTCCTTCCTATAGTGCAGACCTCACCAGATCAGAAGGAAGTTAATTATGCAATAACGCTCATGCCACTAACACAAGTAACTTTCTCATATTCTGTATGCTACCACTTAAATTATATTTTCGTATGCTGAAATAAAAAGTCTTAATTTTATGAGGTCCTATTTGTTGATTTTTTTGTCTCATTTATTATTGAACAAGAGTCCTATTCAGAAAATCCTTACCTGTGCTTAGCAGTGGGAGTATTTTCTCTACTGTGTCCTTTGGCATTTTCAAGGTATCAGGTCTATGGCACATTTGGTGCAGAGCTGTGTATGGTAGAAGATAGAGAGCAGAGTTTCATTTTCTGCATGCTGAAAACAATTTTTTACAATCAGCATATCTGAGACAGTATCTCAAATGCCAACAAATATATGAAATACAAATATTGGTGCAAAGTTAAACTAGGTACTCACAAGTACATTCTCCTTACCAAATGGACCACTTTGAGGTCACCAGCCATGCAGTAATATGAGGTCCAGCTCTGACCACTCAGAACAATGCATGGCAACCATTTCAATAGAATAAATTGTCAGCAGGACTTATAGCCTGGCTCAAATACTATAGACTCTGTGGTCATTTTCTTGGGCCCCCAGACCCATTTGTCACATTAGTAAAATAATATTCAGATTGCCCCATAATTCCATTTTTAAGTGTCTTTAAAATTATTACATTTTTCACCAAATCTATTTTTTTTTAATGCTGCAAAGGAGGTGGAAAAAGAACATATACGCTATGTTCATTGTAAACTAAAACATTCCAGGACCATGGATTCTGTAACAATGGTTATGAATGAAAATTTAACATAGACATGCCTGCTGTACCACTCCTGGGTGTGCACACTGATCGAAATGAATGACACTGAATCACTACATATGTATGGTGAGTTTGTGTGCAATAGATGATTCAGGGAATGAGCTCAGATAACAACCATTATATGAATGACTAAAAAACAATACAATGTGTATAAATAATGCAAGATAATTCAAAATAAAAATTATAGAAAAAAGTTGCATAATTCTCAAGAAAATTGTTCCAACTATATATCAATTTGAGAAACAGACAACTCTTCAAAAGTCCAACAGCTTCACTTGCAAATGTTCGTTGTGTAGCGGGTGTTGGTCGGGTTCAAGGCCCCTAGCTTCAGTACACCATCAATACTAGACTTGCATGATACCCAGCAGCTCCCAATGCCACTAATGATGGAGAGATGATGGAGAGGTGATGGAGAGGTGATGGAGAGGTGATGGAGAGTTGGGAAAGACTGGGGCTGGGGATGTAAAGTGCTTTACTGTTTTCCTCTTCTTCTGTTTTATTATTGTTTATTTTTATCTTATTTTTATTCTTGTTTTGTTTTCCTTTGTGGCAGGACTCTACAAGAGGTCGGGGCAGATATGGAGGGTGTGTGAGAGGAGTGGGATTAGAGTGTACAGTATGAAATTCCCAAAGAATCAATAAAAAATACATTGCATACATAAAAAATCGACTTTCACTTTCTACCATCTGTTTATATGAACTAAACAATAAGAAGTTGTCAAATGAATGAGGTTTTAAACTTTTAAAAAACATGAACATATTGAATAATTCAGTGCAATTTTGACATAGGGACAGAATTTCCTATATAACAAGGCTTCAAGATGTTGTATTTGGAATAGAAAATTTCATTTAACTCCTGATATATCCATGTTCCGTGTGAAAAGATTTGGTAATAAGAAAAATTTAAATTATAACATATATATATATATATACACATACACACACACACACACACACACACATATATATATATATATATATATATATATATATATATATATATACAACACTGATAAATCTCTAGGCACACTAGCAAAGAAAAATGAAAGATTATTAAAGTTATTATTAAAGTAATTATTAAAGTTACTCACATAAGGAATGAGAAGGGGGATACTGCAGATCCCACAGGTACTAAGACGAAGTAAAGAAATACGGAAAATGTTAAGCCCATAATAATCTGGATGAAAGCCTATAATTTTTTTCAGAACTGCATCCTGCCATCCTGGATATTCACTGAGGGCATCTCAGCCTCATGAGAACTGGGCTGTGAGGAGTCTCCAGGCTCTGAGAAGATGGCCTCACTAGACCTGGTCTAAGAGGAGACTGCTGTCAAGAAGGCAGGTTTATCTTCACCTCAGCCTCCCCAGAAGAGGCGCTGTGAAGAAGTCCAGACTCTGAGGAGACCCTGAGCCTGGCCACCCTGACCTGGGACTGCCCTCACCAGATGAACTCCACAGACCCCCTCCACAACGGCTCAGCAGCTCCTCAGCATTTCCTTAACGTCCTCAAGTCTGAGCATGCTCAATGCCCCAGGCAAGAAGACCAAGGTGGAATGGGGGAGGTTTAGAGTCTCTGCCCGGATGCTCATTGGGCCAGAGTGCTTCAGGGGCGGGCTTAAGCCTCACATGCTATTTATGATTGGATGTGTTGCATTTGGCTCTATTTGGAGGCTGGCGTTTTCTGGTGGGATGTGACTTTGGTGGGAAAGGTCTGCAGTGTCTCAAAGGGACAGATATTGTGGAGCCTCTCAAAACTGGGGTCTGCACATCACAGAAATCCAGATCAGCACAGGACATGTGGGACACTCAGGCCTTCGTAGTCTGCTCATCATTTACAGAGGGAGGCCTTGTGGCCAGAGCTGCACACCTACCATCCCATAGTTCTTGTTCTGTCTCACCTTGCCTCATCGTACCTGACCTAGCTTTACATCCTCGTACCTTAACAGAAAACCCATTTGGCCCTCTGGAAAGCCACCAGATAGTGCTGCTTTATTGCAAAAAGGAGAAAATTAAAATGACAACCAGATAGTCTCTTTCTCAAAATCACACAGCTACTTGTAACGGACAGGGACCCTAGTCGAGTCAATTCCACAGACAGCTAGATTAGAGTTGACTTCTATTCCTCAGAACTGGCTGCGTTTATCCCAGTGAGGAAGCAGTACCTAATAATGTTGATTTTGTATCAGGTCATCAGCTTGGCGTTCCTGTGACTCAGCATGGACAAGGAGCTTGCATCAGCGGGACTGCACCCTTATCATTCACCTACCCACGTGGTTTGGTAAACATTCAGCATTTAAAATAGCTTAGTGGCTCATGGCTGAGAAATGTAAAAGCATATGTTTGAGTGATTTTATCATTTTTAAGACAAGAACTGTGATGCAGAAGAGAAAGGAGGAAAACAGTTTGTGTCCAGGAAAACAGATTTTATTTTAGTCTTACTGTGAGGCTTCTCAAGATGTGCTTTCTCTGTCTTCCATCAGGGTCACTTTTAGTCCTGAAGGTTGTAATAATGATAATCTGTGCTGGTAACTGTGAGGAAAAGTCATGGCCCCGACAAACCCCAGTATCAGTATCAAAGCTTTATTAGGAGGGTTGGGGGTGGAACAAGAGAACCAGGCCTGGGGAAGGAGAGAGAGAGAGAAAGATAGTGAGGGGAGGTGGAGAGAGAGAACAGAACAGACCGAGAGGAGGTGGGGTCTGTGTCCGGTTCTCTAAGGTACAGAGCTACACCATGCATGCTAGTTTTCGTGAGGCATACATAATCACCAGCACACACTGATGACTTAAGACACAAGACCCCAGACCCCTTGTGTAGCTCCTGAACTGTTCATGTGCGGTCATGCAGCTGGAGCCCAGCAAAATCCCAACAAAGGTGTTGTTGAATCAGTTGCCAAGATAGAGAAATGATTTGTGGTTGGGATAATTTTGAAAGGAGGCAGCAAGTTCTACCTTCATCAAAGTATGTATCTAGTGCTTTGTTTGTGCAAACTTCCACTCAATATCAGTAGGACCCTATGAAAGATACAAGTGCAAGGTTTGAGACAGGAAACTGGAAAATAGACCTATGTTTCTTTTTAAGCTCTGGAGTTGCTTCTAGAGAGGGCAACCTGGCAGTAGCAATATAAACTCCAATTACATATACCTTATAAATGCAAGTACATAGATCTGACCATCTAGTTTGAGAAATACATTTTATTTGGTATGGTGGTGCATATTTCCAAAGCTACCAACCTGGAAGCTGAGGCAGGAGGATCATGAACTTGAGACTAGTCTTAGTGTGAGTGCCCTTCAGCTTTAAAAAATATAAAATTATTAAATTCAATATGAATGGTATTTTTTAAATTTGTTAATAAAATGAGAATGCATACGTTAAAGAGATAAGTGTTGTTTTCTTATTTCTATTTATAATTTAATGTAAAATTGAATGAGGTACTATTATCAATTGAATGCTGTAAATCTATATATTATCAAAGTTAAATTATGGGACACTAAAAGAATTGTTCCTCAACAGAATTTACTACCCAATCTATTTGCTATGGCCTTGTATTTTTTCGCTGTTGGAATTACAATACACACTACTACTGAAAGGGAAAAATCAGGAGCCCTCTTGAGAGATGCTCTCTCACCGCCTCCTCTAAAGGTATTTGCTGAACAGCAGTTTTAGAGTCGACCGGAGATTGACTTATGGGAAAATAGGACTGAAACTATGAATCTGAATATATATATCCTGGGCTCAGCAAAAACAGGACATAGAGAGTAAAATTTATGTCTCTGTAGATACCCTTCATCCTGTTAGCCATCAGTAACCTCATAGTTAGCTTATAGTTCAGCCAGTAACTTCAAAGAACTACCTCACCCCTAACCACTTCATCCAATCCAGAGATATGTAACTCTCTGCACATAAATCTTTCCTATAGAAAACTCCTTGGAGTGAGTGCTCAGGGTCATCCTGCTCCACCCGCTGTGTTAAGTGTTGGCCTTGGACAAAGCCTGGGTTTGTTTTGTTATTAACAAACCCATATGCTTTCATCAGATATTGGCACTGTGGTGGTCTTACTCGGGGCACAACACACTGAATCAAATTTTCACATAGGTAGGTGGATTTAAAAGAAAATCTGACATATTAGCCCATGCCTCTGTTCCCAGCTCTTAGATCTGGTTCCTGTTGATTGTATGCTGAGAAGGAGTTGGTATTTAAGGAAAACAATCAACAACTGGATAGATAATTGTTAAATTAAATTTTTATTAAAAATTGATATATTGGTAAATGAATTCCATCCAGGGTTGGGGGTACATGCCTTTACTTTAATCCTAGCACTCAGGAAACAGAGACAGGAGAATCTCTGTGAGTTTGAGTACAGTGTGACTTATATAACATGTTCCTGGATAGCCAGGACTACATAATAAAACAAAGACTCAAAATAAATGAGAAAATAAATAAAATATTAAATATAAATTATCAACAATTTTGGAAAATCATATCTCATCAGATTTTTAGCAGTTTCTGGTACTTAACTACATTTCTGAGTAAGGTGGTAACATTAATATAAGGAATTTCTCTAATATTGTGTGATGAGACTTGTTTACAAATACTTTATAAGAGAAGAAAATATAACAATAGAAAAATCATACATGGTTAAAAGATCCACTTAGAGCCATAGGATAAAAAAGAGCTCAAACTGGGGCACATTATGGGGTGCCTAATAAGCCCCACCTCCCAGAAACAAGAAACATGGAGGTATGCCCTTTCTTTTTTGATACCCGGGACAAAGAGAGCCACTTGCTCCAGAAGGAGAAGAAAATAAAAGAAATGCAGAAAGGGGAGGTGCCCAAGTTCAAGGCCCTTCCTGTGCCCCATTTTGACACCATTAACTTGCCAGAGAAAAAGGTAAAGAATGTGATTCAAGCTGAGCCTTTCTCCCTGGAGACAGACAAGAGGGATGCCTATAAGGCTAAAATGTGGAAGCAACAGCTAGAGGAAGAACCGAAGCAGCAGAAGGAAGCCGCCTGCTTCAAGGCTCGTCCAAACACCATCATCTTCCAGGAGCCCTTTGTTCCCAGGAAAGAGAAAAAATAAGTTGCAGAGAACCTCTCTGGTTCTCTAGTTCAAGAACCCTTTCAACTGGCCACAGAGAAGAGAGCCAAGGAGTGGCAGGAGACTGAAAAGAGAATGGCTGAAACAAAAGCCTTGAAAATGCAGCAGCTGGAGGAAGTCAGGCAACAGGAAGAGGCACAGGAAGAGGAGGAGCTAGCCAGGCTATGGAAAGAGCTGGCACCCAAGTCGAATCCTATCTGCCAAGTCTCAGCGGTGGAGGTGAAGTAAAGTGAGCTGCTGGTGACAACTGTGCCAGTGTCTCCACAGTTCTCCACTCAATTCCAATAGGAGCTCTCTGCATCACCCCAGGCATGGAGAGCCATTTCTCACACTCACCCACCCACGTGTGGCAGTGGACCTGACAACTGTGAATGCCAGTGTTCTTGAAGATACCATACAGTTGAAACTAATGAGACGCCACTCATACAGGCTTGAATCAGATTTCTCGAAGTTACCTCCTTCCAACATCAGTTGGTCATTTACTATGTGTCTTAGCTCTGGCTAGAACTTCAAGTGTTTGTTTTGGCACAGTCTAATTATTTTTCTCCTAATCTCCCCCGACTCCTCTTTTATATGTATATTTAAGCATAAAATAAAGGCAGTTAAATACTGAAAAATAAAAGACAGGCTTTTTCTATATAGCCCTGACTATCCTGCAACTCACGATGTAGACCAGACTGGCCTTTAATTCACATCCTCCTGCCTTAGATTCCCCAGTAGATACGGTGACATTGTGTGCTGCTAGTCAGGTGTGCCTGTCTGTATTGAATCAAGTATTTTATTTGGGGGGCCTGGGGATAGAATCCAGGACCTCAAACATGCCAGGCAAGTTCCCCACCACTGAGCTTCACCTTGGCCTCAAATAATCCATATTCTACCAAAAGATGGCTTCTTGTAAAATGGGGAAAGACTAGAAAACTGAAGCTTGTGTCTTGTCTGTCTTGAGCATGCCCATGGTGCTTGGGGGAACCGTTGCTGTCTCCCTGTCATGGGGAGCTTCTTTCAGTCTTGTTCCTCTTGCTACTTCATGGCTCAGGATCCCAGAGCTGATGTCATCCCTTGGCTGATGGACTTTCAGGCTTGTGGTGCTGAGTCACACTTCTGCAAAGTCAGAGGCCTCAAATGTCTAGAAGTGACCAAGAGGTAAATATCACAGCCTCGTCAGCCCTCAGCCTCTCTTGTGACCATTCAATTTTGGTATTGTAGCAAAAGTGGCCACATGCAGTATTTCTGCTTTGATATAAAACGTTATTTATAAAAGCAGGCAGAAAAGACTACCACACCCTCCTTCTGCTGGCCAGTTTCATGAACAAACTCCTCTTCATCCTTCA